CAGCTGGCGTTGGAGGCAGTTATCCAGGTGGGTCCTGGGGGCTGTGCCTACCCTGGCCAAGGCGGGAAGCGTGGGCCAGCAGGAGCGGTGAGGCGGGTGCATCTCTGGCATCAAGGGGTGTGTTAGCGGGATATATGGGGGCCCCAACTTGCGGCTCCCGGCCGGGCTGGGGTCGAGGGGCACGTGGTGCAGTGCTGTGGCCCTGTCCCAGTGCCCTGTATTGGGGGAGGGGCCCCTAGGCCCAGCTGCTGGAGCACGCACGTGGGTGACCTCTGGCCCAGCAGGGTCCTCGCCCATCCAGGCCCCCGTGGGTTTGTGAGTTGGCTGTGGGGTTTGATCCTCTTTTCCTGGGGCAGGGGACACAGGGGAAGCCCCTCCCGCGAGGCTTTTTGGGATTCTAACTCCCAGGCTTCCCTCCATCTTGGGGGCTTCCTGTGGACCCTCACCCTGGGCGGCCGGACTTTGCTTCTCTCCTTCCATCGAGGCCGGGAGCCCAGGGTCCCAGGTGCCCTGAAGACCCCCCCTCCCTTTTCCCACAGACGCTGGAGAGCAGCGTCCTGGGCCAGGAGAAGGGCCGGGGAGAGCAGGACCCGTCCCAGGACCCGCAGACCGCCCGCCTGCCTGCCCGCATCAGGGAAATCGTCACCCGCCACCTCTCCCAGCCTGAGATCCCAGGTACCACCCACCCACGCCTTCTCCACAGACGCTGCCTGTGTCCCTCTTCTCGCACCCCCTCCTCAGCGGTCACCGTGATGAGAACAATTATAGCTTCCATTTCTTGACCACTCACTGGGGTCAACACAGCCCTGCAGCGGAGACACCCACTTTACAGATGAGAAAACAGAGGCTCAGCCATGTAACTTGCCCAGATGCATTCCCCATGTGGTGCAGCTAGAAGGGAAGGGCTGAGCATCCCCTGCCTGCTTGCCTGCATCCTGCTGCAAAGACTTGAACCCCAGAGACCATACTCCCTCCGGGGAAGGTGTGAGCTGGCTGAACCTGAGGTTACAGGGGGAGGGGAGCTCAGGTCAGACCGGGGCTTTGCGGAAGTCCGAGGCTGGAAGACTGATGGCGCCTGCCTCCTGGTGGGGGCCGCACAGCCTCATTATGTGGTTTGAGGGTCTGGGAAGGGCCCGGTCAGTGGCAGCTGGTATGCCCACAGCTCTCCTGGATGGTGTTCTTGGTGCTCTGCCACAGTCCCTGTTCAGCTGCCAGGTTAGGCACAGGCCTTTCCCTGGGTGCACAGGGGTGTTGAGACCCTGGCGCCCCTGGCAGGGCTGAGACTAGAGAGCCCTCACCCAGGCTGCAAGGGCCTAGGGGCTGTGCTGCCTGAGGCCTGCGGCGTGTGTCCAGTTCTCCCAGGGCAGGAGGGGAGCCCAGGAGGTGAACAGCCCCGCTTCTCTCTCTGGCTGTTCTTTCTCTCCTTCCCTTCTCCTCCTCCTTTTTACAACCTGACCTATACCATCCTGAGCCCTGGCCTTAAACGTGACATGAGCCGGGCATGGTGGTTCATGCCTGCAATCCCAGCACTTTGGGAGGCAGAGGCGAGAGGATTGCCTGAGCCCAGAGGTTGAGGCTGGGGTGGCTGTGAGCGTGCCACTGCACTCTAGCCTGGGCAACGGAGTGAGACTCGGACTCAAAAAACAAAAAGAGTGACCTAATGCCCTCGCCTTTCTTTTGAGTGAGACTTTCTTGCTTTTCTGGCAGGGTCTGGTTACTGTTCCACCCATTTTACAGATGAACAAAGCTGAGGCCCAGAAAAGACTAGTGATTGGAGAAGGAAGGAGCAAGAACTCAGGGCCTACCCTCCCTAGACTGAGCCTCTCTCCGGCACCTCTGAGGCCTGCTGGGGCCACCCCTTAGCTGGAATTGTGTCCACTTTACGTCTGACTCTAACCCTCCAGCCCTACCTTCTGATCCTCAGCTCCGACTGCAGGCCTGATGCGGCTGCCCCCTGCACCCTACGGGCTCCTCCCAGGGGCCTGGGTGATCTTCCTGCCCCAAGTAATTTGTGGGTGCCTATAGGGGGAAGATGTCCCACTGCCCCAGGCAGAAGTCAACTGTGTGTCCTCTGTCCCTTGCAGTTCCGTTGCCAGCTGCAGAGATGGCGTCGCTGCTGTCACTGCAGGAGGAGAACCAGCTACTGCAGCAGGAGCTGTCCCGTGTGGAGGACCTGCTGGCCCAGAGCCGCGCCGAGCGCGATGAGCTGGCCATTAAGTACAACGCGGTCAGCGAGAGGGTGGGTGCTGCCTGCGGCTGGGCCAGGGCTCCCCTACTGTGATGGTAGGGGGCGTCCGGACCAGGCCTGCAAGCGGGGTGGACCCAGAGCTGGGCGCAGTGGGTCACACCTCTAACCCCAACACTTTGGGAGGCTGAGGTGGCAGGGTCACTTGAGCCGAGATTTGAGACCAGCCTAGGCAACATAGTGAGTCTTGGTCTCTGCAAAAAAAAAATAGCAAGGTGTGGTGGCGTGCACCTGTAGTCCCGGCTACTCAGGAGACTGAGGTAAAAGGATTGCCTGAGCCCAGGAGGTCGAGGCTGCGGTGAGCTGTGATTGTGCCTCTGCACTCCAACCTGGGCGACAGAGTAAGACCCTTGCTCATTGAAAAAAAAAAAAGACTGGGCACGGTGGGTCATGCCTATAAACCAGCAATTTGGGAGGCCAAGATGAGAGGATTGCCTGAGCCCGCGGGTTTGAGACCAGCCTGGGCAACTTGGCAAGACTTCATCTCTACAGTAAATAAAAAATTTAGATGGGCATGGTGGTGCACACCTGTAGTTCCAGCTACTTGGAAGGCTGAGACAGAAGGATCACCTGAACCCAGCAGGTTGAGTCTGCGGTGGCCGTGAGCATGCCACTGCACTCAAGCCTGGGTGACAGAGTGAGACTCCAACTCAAAAAAAAAAGTGGGCCCTGGAGCGAGACTGGCCTGGGCTGGGATTGTGGCTCTGCCACCTTGAGTGGCCTTGAGCAAGCCACCCACCCTCTGAGCCACCCTGTGGGGTTGGTAACAGAATGTGGAGATATGGGATAATGCAGTACAGTGTCTGGCACCAGGGATGTTTCACTCTTGCCTGTCACTGGCCTGCTTGGAGTACAGAGGACAAGATCCCTAGAGGCCCTCTTCCCCTCAGTCTCTGGGCATCTCCCTGTGTTCCCATTGCTGTAGGCCCTGGGGCTGAGGCAGTGGTGCATGCTGGGCCTGGCGGGTATGTGCTTCACAGTGTTCTTCAGGGCATCTGGGGTAGCCAGACCTGTTGCTATTGCCCACTGGGGTGAGAACCACGTGGGGAAGGGAGGACGAGCCAGGCCTGTCTCTGTCCAGACAGGATTCACATCACCTGGGACCTGTGCTGCAGGCTCATGGGGGCCCTGGGGCCTGAGGCGGGGGTTGGTATGGCAGGCCCAGGAGTGCAGGATGTTCCTGACATGTCGAATGCCTTGGGCCCCCAGGCTCATGTGAGGCGACCCTGGGAAGCAGATAGTGGCTGAGGACTGGTAAGGGAGTTGCATGCGGGACAGAGTGTGTGCAGACGGGAAGCATGCAGGGGCCGTAATGATTGTAATAGCAGCTATTAATCAAGTGCCTGCTATGTGCCAGGCATGTGCTGGGTGCTCTACATTGAATGCACCAAGGTCAGGACCATTACATGTCTCCCACAACTCCCTTTTTATTAAAAGATGGGGTCTCAGCTGGGCTCGGTGGCTCAGCCTGTAATCCCATACCTTGGGAGGCTGAGGTGAGTGAATTGCCTGAGCCTGTGGGTTTGAGACCCACCTTGGCGAGACCTCATCTCTACAGTAAATAAAAAAATAGCTGGGCGTGGTAGCTCACGCCTGTAGTTCCAGCTACTTGGAAGGCTGAGGCGGAAGG